AAACTGAAAATGGAACTCCCATTTGACCCTGTGATCCCACTTCTAGGAATATATCCCAAGAAACCAGAAACACCAATCAGAAAGGATATATGCACCACTATGTTCATAGCAGCACAATTCACCATAGCTAAGATCTGGAAACAGCCTAAGTGCCCATAAGCTGATAAATGGATTAGAAAACTGTGGTACATCTACACGATGGAATACTATGCTGCTGTTTGAAAGAAGGAATTCTTACCATTGGCGACGGCATGGATGGAACTGGAGAGCATTATGCTAAGTGAAACAAGCCAGTCAATGAAAGAAAAATACCACATGATCTCACTCATTTATGGATAATAAAGACCTATTAGATAGGATGAGCAAAAATAGATACAGAGGCAGAGCAGCATCGAATAGACTGTCAAACTACAGCGGGAAGGCCGGGGAGGGCTGGGGGAGGTGGGTAAGAGTTCAACCAAAGGACTTGTATGCATACATATAAGCATAACCAATGGACACAAGACACTGGGGGGTAGGGGAACCTGGGGGAATGTCGGGAGGGGGAAGGAGACATATGTAATACTCTCTGTAATGCTTTAAGCTATAAAACAAAATTAAAAAAAAAAGAAAGTTGGACTTTCACCAGCAATTTCAAATACCTACTGTTTAACAATGTTTTTTATTTTTATTCTTTATTTCCCAAGTCATTTTCATGTATATTGAATTATTATAATAAAAGGAAACAATCTGAATAGAGAAATGCCCCAAGATGATCATGGCACTGTTCAAGACAAGACAATGTTTTGTGAATAGTTAATCTAGTGATCCATTACTTAAAAACTCTGTACCGGTACTGTTCTTGGGATTGCAGATATTGCAACCAATGAAAGAAATTCTTGCTGTCAAAGAGCTCACATTCCAATGACAACTAATAAGCAAATATAACATGAGGTATGACTATAAAATATAATGTAATGTAAGTGCTTCGAAGAAAAAATAAAGCAAGGGGTTAGACTGGGTGGTAATTTACCCCCTCCTCCCAGGGGACATTCAGAAACTTCTAGAGACATTTTTGGTCAACACTTTGAGGAAGTTGCATTTGAATGATGACATAGGTGATGTAAGGGGGCAAATCATGTGGGTATCTGGGGGAAAAGACTGTGGGAAGAGGAAACAGCAAATGTGACGTCTGATGTGGAAGAGTGTCTAGTTTATTTAGGGAACAGAAAAGATCCAGTATGGCTTGAGCAGAGTAAGCAAAGGAGAAAATGAGAGATGAAGTTAGGTAGCTGATCATAAAACTTCTTAAAGGCCATGAAACATACTTTGGACTTTATCCTAAGTATTATCTCAGTGTAATTCATATTGGCCATTTTTGGCCAATTATTAAAATATTAAATATCCTATATGAAACCGTTTCCCTTGATAAAATTCAATGTTTAGTTTTTTTAAAAAAATATTTTTATTGATTTCAGAGAGGAAAAGAGAGGGAGAGAGAGAAAGTAACATTAACGATGAGAGAGAAGCATTGATCAGCTGCCTCCTGCATGCCTACACTGGGTATCGAGCCCACACCCCAAGACATGTGCCCTGACCAGGAATTGAACCGTGACCTCCTGGTTCACAGTCGACAGTCAACCACTGAGACATGCCAGCTGGGCCTATGTTTAGTTTTAATGAAGTATACTCTAGAGTCAAACAAATGTTCATAAAAATAGATGATAAAATTTTAAATTTATCAGTTAAAATCTCTATGCTTTTAAAACATCATCCCCGGGCAGGGGGTAGGGGGTGGGCCGGAGGGGGTCAATGGGGGGAAAAAGGGACATATGTCCACTCAACACTTCTGAAAATCACTTATTTCTTTCAAGGTAATGCTAGGGCACATCTTCACTCTCTTTGATTTGAATTTATAAAGGTCACACATCAAACACTTTATTAGTAAAGTGTTTATATGTAGAAGTCAATCCGGCAACATCTGTAGTCACTAAAAAGAACAGAGTAATCCACAGGGCACCGTGGCAGGATTTTAGCAACTTTTGATGAATGAAATTCTTGGGTTTCACTCACCTTTCTCCCATGCACATACTGATGTGTTTCCTCCCATTTCTTCTTTTTTTTATAGTCTTTTTTAAAATATATTTTATTGATTTTTTACAGAGAGGAAGGGAGAGATATAGAGAGTTAGAAACATCGATGGGAGAGAAACATCGATTAGCTGCCTCCTGCACATCTCCTACTGGGGATGTGCCCGCAACCCAGGTACATGCCCTTGACCGGAATCGAACCCTGGACCTTACAGTCCGCAGGCCGACGCTCCATCCACTGAGCCAAACCGGTTTCGGCTTCCTCCCATTTCTTTAAAAAGTTAGAACTGAGCTCACTGCAAGTGTGGCACAGTGAAAGATACATAGCATAGCTGGAAGGACACAGCAGAGGGAGTACTGTGAGACAGGATCAAATCTCACCTTGGCTGCTAGCTTACACAATTTCTCTCTCCAGGTCTTAGTCTTCTCATCTGTAAAAGGAGTGCTTTGCATAAAATGATCTTTCTCTAAGGTCCCTTCTTAGCTCTAGCACACCCTGGCTCTAAATTCAATACACACAGGACTTCACAAACCACCCTCACACACACCCCCACACATACCTTTTTTAATGAGATAAAATCATAATACATATTAAAAAAATATGGAGTTTTATTCTGACCATTACTATACCTCATTATATAAATAGATTTCCTTCATTTTTTTTCCAACACCTTTATTGAAGGAAGTAGCTTATTCTGTGCAACTATCAAAACTTTGTCCACTTTAGCAATTTCTGATAGAAAAGATTGTAAAATGTAGTCTATTTTCCTCTGATGTTTGAAATGACATAATCGGAGTTTAATTTAATCTCCAGTTTATACCTAGCATATAACAGGTACTT